TAAAAATGTGGCTTTAGTTCATATTTGTTAATTATTGATCGAAATACTAATAATGATTGAATTGAAGTTTAACCGACAGTGGGTCTCATGATTAATGAGCTGCAGTGTTCAGTAAGTTCAGATAATTTTTAGCATTTATTAGCATTTAAATGTATGTGTGCACATGTTCAGGTGTCTGTTTCATGAGGAGAACAAAAGAGGATCTTCAACATCACATTCAGTGTTTAGCAATGCAAACCAGGCGATGAAAGTGCACTAATAACAAATAACATTTATTCATGAGCAGTGTCCTCTCTGCTGCTGGCTCAGGTCACATGTCATGAGTGGTTGACAGAAAAGAACAACATGTGAAGTGTCATTTTAATTTGAGTTATTGCTCTGTTTGTTTCCATATTCATACAGTTTGTTGTTCTCTGTTTTTCATCTACAGGTGCATCATCTGTTGTTTTGTTTGCGGCTGCTTGTTTTCACCTCTATTTTCATCATTATTGGAAGCTCTTGAACTTTTATTGCTGAGCTGAGCAGTAGATTTTTCAACATGTGCATGCATACATGCTTAATTTTCAAAGGTACATTAGTGATGAATGATGAAAGAATGCTGCAGTATCTCATCTCCTTTCATTTTCCATCTTTTTTATTTTTTTTAAATTCTGCTTGCCTTATGTCTTCTTTTCTAGATCTTTCATCTGTCCGCACATTGATTCCTTGTAGATGCATGTATTCTCTCCCATCCTCCCTGTATCCCCTGCATTGTGTTGATTTCCGTCCTAATCTTACCCTGACCCCGTCCTCCATCCATCATTTGGCATTTCTCTCATTGTAAGTGCCAAATGTCTTTCTTGTAAACAATTCTGCAATCCATAGTAAACTGTTTTCTTTTGTATGTTCATTCAGGTTCAAACAGCCAAAATGATGATTAAGACCAGTAAAGACATGTCTAACTATATTAAAAATGAACATGTACTTAGTTTATACAAGCAATGCAGGGCTTATTCTCAAAATCACATGGACCTACTTTGCCCTGGGCACGGTTTTGTAACTTGTATTAGCATCAGTTTGTTTTTGTACTTTTCATTTGTCCTCTCTGGCTTTTAAGTCATGACGGGTTGTCAACATTTCTATCCTTGTTCACACAAAACCTTCTGTTATAGGGTTGTTTAGTATCATCAGGTCAGATCAGAACAAACCACACTTGACACTACTCATGCAAGGCAAAATGAACTGAAATAAAAGATCAAACTCTCGAGACATAAACAAACATGACTGGTGTGAGCTCATCCAATTCCAACTTGTAAAAGTCCAACAAATCTGCTTCTTTCATTTACTGTTTTGATCATCTCTTTCTTCTCTCTCGCCATGATCTTGTGTTGTAAGTGTTAAACTTGTATTTTGTCCGAGTTCTTAAAGCGCTAGTTTGATTGATTGTGGCCAATTCTACAAAGCCTATCAGAATACAAATTGTGTGTGTATTGTGTTTGTTTGGCGGTCTGATAACTAATGTTTGTGGGTGTGTTTGTTTTCCACATTGTGTGTTCGTGACTTTGACTGAAGCTCTCAGATGAGGAGCCAATTGATTGATACGGCCCCAATTAGTCTCTGTGATTAATTGAGTGTGATTGGGTATCTTCTCCGGCACCTCATTGCTGACGTTATTGACAGGCTAATTAGTTGCCATGGTGACTGCTTAAACACAGCTGATCTTGTGTGACAGTGAAATGACCCCATAGCAGCCAATCAAGCCTATTTTGCTTGGAGGTGTGTGTGTGCGTGCGTGCGTGCGTGCGTGCGTGCGTGCGTGCGTGCGTGCGTGCGTGCGTGCGTGCGTGCGTGCGTGCGTGCCTGCGTGTGTGTGTGTGTGCGTGCGTGCATGCGTGCATGTGAGCTACTCACACAGGATCATACTTTGATATCATTCATGATAAAAAAAAGATCTACATATTTAGACATGAGCAGCTTTTCTATATTAAAACATTTTCTGTGTATTAATATCCAATTAGCCATCATAATTACAACTAGAGATGTCCACAGTTAGCTGACTAAACACTTTGAGTTGGCATCCTTGCTAGTTGCCACCAGAATAACTAGAGGATTAAACACATTTTTAACAATTATTTAAATTCAATTCAATTCAATTTATTTGTATAGCGTCAACTCATAACAAGTGTTATCTCAAGACACTTTACAAAAGAGCAGGTAAAAGACCTTACTCATTGTTATGTTACAAAAAGCAGGTAAAAGACCTTACTTATTGCTATGTTACAAAGATCCGGCCTATCCATCATGAGCACTTTAGCAAAGCAGCAAAAGTTACAGTGGTAAGAAAAAACAGCCTTATTAAAAGGCAGAAATCTTCGGCTGGATCCCCGGCAGCATAACTAAGAGCTGGTCTACACCAGCACTATAAGATTTATCAAAAAGGAAAGTTTTAAGTCTATTCTTAAAAATACAGACTGTGTCTGCCTCCCGGACCCCGGCTGGAAGGCAGTTCCAGAGGAGAGGAGCCCGATAACTGAAGATTTGTATCATTTCAGGTCCACGATGCTGGTCAAATGTGATGTCTAGACTGTAACTGAGCCATCCACTAGCCAGGGCTGCAGTTCTAAGTTAATAACTACTGCCATACTGCTGCACTAAGAAGATGCAGTCAAGGACAGTGAGTGGACAGCATCTAGTAGGAGAGCCACAGTTTGGCAGCATTTTCATCCAAAATATAGAAATTAAGTCTTAAATAAAGGCTGTACATTTGAACCATGTACAGTCATGGCTGTGCTCGCACTGTTAGAAACACTCTGACTTTGTTTAACTGTAGATGCTGTGTGTTTAGCAATGTTAAATCAATTGTGCTCAGTTTTGACTGTTATCTGAGTATTTCTTAACTTTAGTCTAGTCAGCCTACCTGAATTAAAGTCTGCGTTTAAGGGACATTGAAGTTAGTATTATGGACCTCCCTACAAAGCTGTAATGCAGTCTCAGTAGATGCTTTAAACAAATGAACATTGTTTGCCTTTGTTGGGGGGGGGGGTGTTGTGCTTTAGCAATGAGGATTCTCATTAGAGAGTTCATCTTATGTTGCAAATGTAAAAATTCATAAATAATATATTTATATATTATTAAATATATAGATGCAGCACATCTCAAGTTCCAAAATAAGTAGGGCAAAACACATTTCACTAGTTTTATTGGCTCACGTCACAAAAAACAAATGCTTACCAATTTGGTAAAAATATTTCTTCAGAGTGTTTTCAGAGCATTTAGACCTCATAAAGTAGAGATACTTTAAGGATAGTTTATTGCATTGACTTTCCAAAGGGTTACACATCTAGGATCCAGCATTGTCCCTTAAGTTTAACTTGTAACTTTTTCAAACCTCTGGGGGAAAAAAATGATTTGAAAGTATGTTCTTCTCCACACTGCTCAACAATAAGTAATAATCCTTTCTTTGTGATATTGTTCTATAAAATTATAACCTATGACCACACCTTAGGAGCCATGGCCTGCAGAAACATGAAGAGCTATCAGTTTTCCCACTGGGGAGAGCTATGTTGGATCAACTGAGCAGCATATGCAGTTTTTCCCATGTCCACACTGAATGGGTTAGAGGCTCTAGTTAAACCTATCCCACCCATTCAACTTTGTCGAATGCTGTGATGTACTGAAATTAAGTATTAATCCGTAATTTATGGTAAAAATAGAATATATATTTGGCAAATTTACAATATATGATCATGACCGTTCATTGCCAGCCCCATATAAATCGCTAAAGCAACATGTTGGGGCAGTCCATGTGAATAAAGAACCATCTATGAAATCAAAGTTTATAGAATAGATGAAGATAAAGTGAGTGTGACTGTGGGGAGAGAAAACGCCTCACAAGTGGGACCTTTTAATAAATCGAATTTGTATTTGTGTTTATATCTTTGTTTGTGTCACAGTTACATACAGCAGAGCTAAAGAGGATACAAGTGTACAAAGCTATGGGGAGACAGAGGGAGTGGTAGACAAGTGCATGGCTGATTTGCTGTGAAGAAAGGACCCTAATCTCAGAGGAGGCCAGAGTTGGCGTAACATCACTTTTCCTGGCCAACCTCTTTAATTCTTCTTTTGCTTCAAATATCCTTCTTTTCTCCACACAGCAGGTTTCCTTCCAACTTCTTTACTTCTCTCACTCTGTCCCCAAATGTTTCCAGATCTCCTTTTTTCACCTTTATCGTTTTTTTTTTTTACAATCATATTTTTAGATTGAATGTTAGCCATTGCTTGTCCTTGGTCACAGATATTCTACAACTGGAAGAACTGTTTGCACCACATATGCAGTTTTAAGATAGCTAACTGGAAAAGGTAATGCAAATAGATTATTTTCTTTTTCGGATCAAATTAAAAAATGAGTCACAATGGACAAAAAGAGAACAAACTGCTGAAATGAAAATGTGAGAAAGCAGACATTTACTTATGCTGAGTCACTGAATGAAACTAGAACATTGGATTACATCTGGTGTTGATGCTGACAAAACATGGCAGATTTTCTGGCCCTTTGAGGTCTTCCTGAGCATTAGGTTTCTAGAGAATATAATGGATGTGGGTAAAACATAAAACAAGTTGTATCAGTATGGACATACACAGATACACATTTTAATTACTCATCCCCTTTGAATCTCATTTTAATTTATTTGTGTTAGAAAAAAAAAACAGAGGCAATTATGACTAAACAAATTAAAAGCCTGTCTTATTAAACATAGAACACAACTTAATTTAAAGTGAGTAGCAGTGACGTTTTTAATGAAATAGTTGATCAAGGATGACTTATTCACTAAGGAAAAGGTGTAATTAGGCACAGCTGCTCTGCATTTGATGAATGTGATCTGTATTACTCTGATATGTTGATTTCTACCCCCCCTCTTGGCTACTTGGTTTTCTCCATATCTATTTCTTAAAATATGCATACTGTGTTGTACATATCAGTTAACTGTCTGCCCCCTGTCTCTTGTTGATTCTATTTTTAGCTCCTCCTCTGGAACCCACAGTCATCTGTCGATCCAACACCTACCCTAAAGGCTTCTACTGCAGCTGGCATCAGCTACACACCACCTACATCCCCACTACCTTTGAAGTTGATGTGCAGTAAGTTTTTTCTTTCTGTTCTGGTTGCAATTGAAGGATTCACATTCAACATTTACTATCATATTCATAAAACCTGCAAAGAGCTTGAACCTTCAAGTGGCTTGACTTATTTGGCACTTTATTATTATGTGTCTCATAAAAAAAAAATTAAAAAAAAACAGGGTTCGAACAAGGATGCTGAGTCATGTCACAAATATTTATAGTTTCAGTCTGATGAACTATTTATGAGGATATTATTACTTTAGGTATCATAAATGCAGACATAGTTGTATGTACATCCATAGCTACATTACAGACCGGACATAGATAGGACCAACAAGGAAGAAGCCAGTTTGACAGACAATCAAAAATTGATTGAGCATGCAGGGTAAAAAAACAAAAACAGATTTTTTTGTCATGTATTTATAAGAAAAATCCAAGGACGAGCATCACTGATGATGTGTCCCAGCTCATCCTTGGATGTTTCTTCAAACCAGACCATTTTTACCCAGATCACCCATAATGACTTATTTTCTTATAAATGAAACATTAGAGAGAGAGAGAGAAACAGCACATTTAGACAGTTTAGTGGTACTACACAAATTTAACAAAACAAAAACAAAATAGGATGTAAATTAGAAAAAGAGAAGAAGACAAAACAAGGTAATTTTGTTTTCCCTCAATCTCTACCTGTCCTCTAATGTCCAGGTGTGATTAAACAGTAGGTAGATCTTAAATACTCAGAGTGTGGATGAAGACACAGCAGGACGTTCTCCATCACGTTCTATTTGATATTCCCAGATCACACTCCCACAGCTCAAATCACAGCAGGTGGACAGCGTCTTCATTAATGTTGTAACACCAATTCTATTCTGTTCTGTGAATTATAATGAGAAGAGAAACAGAGAGGCAGAGCTAGACAGAAATATGTGTAGAATAAGGCTTACTGTAAGGGTAGTGTGTGTGTGTGTGTGTTTGTGTGTGTGTGCAGAGAGCATATAAGCAGAGCATCAAGCCAATCAGTAATCATATTAACCTGTTTTTTCTGTTTTGTATTTCTTTTGTATTTCTTTTCTCCGGAGAAGTTGGGTCTTCTCTTCCCTAAGGATAGGATGGTAGTTGTCTTTAGTAGCTGCTGACATCTGGCTTTCTTCCATGATAAATAAAGTGCCTGATTCAAATGTGCTTTTAGCCTTGAAGAAAATGCAAAATAAAGTTGTTAAGACCCATGTCTGCCTGGAAGCCAAAATGTACAAAAGATAAAGTAAGACAGTAAAACTCAAGTCTGGCAATGTCCCAAATCCAAGCTGTCCTCGTCTGGGTAGCAGGAGGCATAGTCAGCAGTTTTAATATTGGATTGCAAATGATGTTTTTTGATATATGTATCGTCCAGACTGTCTAAAAAGAAAAGAGAAAAAAAGGAAAAACAATTACAATCAATTGAATTTTTTTCAAGCTCAAAAAACATTTGACCTTATAGATGTGTAAAAAGCTTGTCTCTGTGTTTCTGTTCTCCAGACATAACCACCGTTCATTAGAAGTGCAGAAAGATCCGGACCACAAGAACCGCTGTCGTGTACGTTTCCCTGAGGTCTTTTCCAGCTTCCCCTACAAAGTTAATGTGACAGCAGTCAATGCCTTGGGGAAAGCCTATACCACCATAGTATTTGAAGAATCCAGTATAGGTAAGACTGCTGTATGCCATGATGCCTACAGGTGTTCTCCTGCTCCATTCTTCTTTGCTACACTTTGATTGTAGAGTAAGTTTTTTGTGTTTACAGCCAAATTTGATACATATTGAATAACAGGCTAATCATTGTAGAGATTGCATGTTGTAAGCACTACCGTCTTTGGATGATTTGCTTCAAATGAAATGGTTTCATTTTGAGTTCAAAGGTTTAAAAGATAACTCACTGACATTTTGAAAACGTTTGAATTGTATCCTCAGAGTGAAAAAAAAAAAAAAAATTCACAAAGAATGCTTTTTAAATCTAAGTTCAAGTTCCTTTTTTTGTCCTTCAAAATGTTTGAGTGTCAAGGCCTCCCTTTGAGCATACCAACTGTTGAGCAGCTTTAATGGGTTTGTTTGACCACAGATGACTGGCTTTATTCACTTCTTGTTCAATTTTGAGATGTGTTGAATAAATGTTTTGTGCCAGAAAGACAAAGAACATTGAAAATTGAAACAGCCAAATAAATGTAACCCAGCTGACAGGATAGTGCAGAGTTTTCTTTTCTTTAACCAACAGCATAATCCATTAGCAAGAAACCCACTGACTGTGCAACCCTGCCACTTCCACAGTCACTGGACAATAAAATAAAAAACTACATCTGAACCTTTTCTGCACTACAAGTATTTAATTGAGGCTTAAAAGTACATAACTATCCCAAATGAATTCACTGGTTTCTCAGTGAAAATGCCAGATACAAACAAACACCCATCTGCAATACAAGCACATTTTTACCCATGTTTAATGTAGAAAAAAAATCAGCATTAAAAGTTTGTCCCTTCATTGGCTATTATTGAAAGTACAGCCAGCCTTCATGGTTACGTGGTAAGTAGTTTAAAGAAATGCAGTTTGCTGAAGTTGTTGTTCATTTGGCTGCAGAAGGCCACATAATAACAGCAAGACTCTTAGAATTCATGAGTGACTCAGACTGGAAAGCAGTGAAGAGAAGAAATTCATTTTAAAGAAGGAATGAGGAGTACTTTGATAGATAAGGGAAGTGCTGCCAGCGGTCCTCGGCTCTGTTGTATTGCTAAGAGTGCGATATGGGTGTGCATGGCGCATAAACACACACAGGCACCAATGAGGCTGCAGCACTTGTGTGCAGTGTGTCTATGGAGAGGGTATTGAAAGGAGAGAGAGAGAGCGAGAGAGAGAGAGAGAGAGAGAGAGAGGAAAGAAAATTTTCTCTTGTGTGTGTGTGTGTGTGTGTGTGTGTGTGTGTGTGTGTGTGTGTGTGTGTGTGTGTGTGTGTGTACATATGTATCCAAATGAGGCTGTGACATGCACTGCCAAACCCCGGACACAGGACTCATGAAAATGCTAATGCTAGCCGGATTAGCGCCTTGGCTCAGGAAATATCCTTCAACTACTGGTGATAGCAAAATACCCCACTGTTCCTTTCTTCCCCTTTGATTTCCCTTTCAGTCCTGCATGCTATTCTGGTGACTTTGTTCTTTTGCCTTCATGTCCTTCTTCCTCCTTTTTTGTCTTTTTGTCTTTCATCAGCCAAATGTTCTCACATAACATTTTAAATGATACAACAAATATCTCCTGTCCACACTGTAATTCTTCACATTGATTTGTAAAAAATACATTTTCTTTTAAATTGTTTTCTCTTTAGTTAGCTGAATGTACACAATAGTTTTACAGTGTATGACACCTTTCTGATCAATCATATAGGTGACTTTATTAACTGGTTGGCCTGAAGAGGCTTAAGCTTGCTTTTGCCTTATGATCACTTGTTTTTGTTGTGGATAACTGATCACAATAAAATGACACCATCACCTGGTGGTCTTAAATTGAAAAGCTCTCAACAAGAGTTCAAGGGATCTGAAACTTTTTAAATTCACATTTAAGAACAACATGCATAACAGTCACATAGAAGGCCAAAAGTAGACATAGTGATTTAACACTTTTTTTAAAAAAATGAATTGTGTAAGTCGTCTAGCTTCTTCCTTTCTGTTTCGCCTTTTCTGTCACTTTTCTGTTTTTATTGTTTGCCTTCCCACACCTCCCAACCCCTCCTCGCTGCATTGTTAAAAGTCTTTCTCATGCCATTTTAACTTGTAAGTCACATTCATTATCAGGGACAACGAGGCAGATCGTAAATAAATAAAACAATTTCATGCTTCCTGGTGCACTTCTGAATTCTGTGTGGGAGTAAGACGATTCTCAACTGTCCCTGTTCATCCAACCAAAACTGGATTGAAATTAGATGAGATGAGATAGAGAGAGTGTGTGTGTGTGTGTGTGTGTGTGTGTGTGTGTGTGTGTGTGTGTGTCCTCACATGTGCATGCTGTGGGTACGGTTACAAAGAGAGCCCTCAAGAAGCCTCCAGACTCATTAAATGATAACTTAAAGCTTTCCAGTGCCGAGCTGATCAAACGCTCACTGATGCTCTCTAAGTGTAAAGGTTTCCACAGTGAAAGCGTTTTTACATTGATTTTATTTTTCAAGTCTGCTGTGACATCCGTCCAGCTGCTGTCATCCAGCACTGCATTACTCATTCAGTGTGATTAAATTTAATATACTATGACCTAATCCCAAAAGGGTAAACGTAGCTGCACAAGCTTTTCATCAGCACCATTAAATTGTCTTTCACTTCTGTCATCCTTTCAGGTAATACTTACAAAGTGGAGGGATATAATACAGGTGACTCTGTGCTCCTAGGTCCCAGGAGCAGCCAGTAAAAGGGTTCAGTCAATCAAAGTGAAGGTGTTAATAGCACAGTTAAAAATACTTCAATATGTAATAATAACACCCTGGTTCTATTTATAACAGCCCTCTCCAGCTTTCTCCCTGAAATTACCAAATAAGTTGACAAGACTGCTCTGACTAAGTGTTTTGTTACACAAAGCTTTTTATTTTGCCAAAAATAGTTTGTTATGTCAGGGAGGTTAGAGGTCAGCACTTGCTACATAGAAGCACAACTACATTTGGCAGATGAGGCTTATTTACTAAGAAATGCACTCATTAGTGACATACCCAAGCATAAAAAGTACAACTTTTTCAGTGAAAAGTGGATTCCTTAAGAGCATTGTTTAAACCTACAGTACATCAAAAACCCCAAGGCAAAAGAGAGTCCAATTATATCAGCTCCAAAATGATACACACCGAACGTTGGAGGTCATATTGTGACCTCTTACTTTTTTCCAGGATCTTCAGAATGATCCACATTGTAGTTTAGTCAGAAGATAAAGGCCAGGCAGGCAGATGTCTTGGTTATGGGTCTGGTATATCTCAGGACTGTAATCTATCATTGCTTTGAATAGTAGCACAGATGTGAGATGTTTTTAAAGTGCTTGTTGAAATCATTTTACCTGATATATCTTTGAACATAAGCCACGGATTTGGGACAATCAAAGTCTCAGCGTTAAAGTCTATGCTTTGTGTGAGACTTTATGTCATATTGGTTGAGGGAGTTAATGAGGAATGAGTCATCTGAGCTGCCAAGCTAACACCGCAATGCTTTATATAATCATCACTAAAATGTACAAACCATAGCTTTCCCAGACACACAATGATTTTGCATCTATAGTAGCACTTAAACTTAAAGGCTTTAATGTTGGATTTCAGTTTGGGATTTTGACCACTACGTTTACCAGTGGCATTACTTCTCTGGGGCGGCACAGTGGTTAGCGCTGTTGCCTCACAGCTGGTTTGAATCCCAGTCAGATAGGACCTTTCTGTATGGAGTTTGCATGTTCTCCCCATTCATGCCTGGGATCTCTCTACTACTGCTTCCACCCACACTCACAAGACATGCTCGTTCATTGGTTTATTGGTTAATTGGTGGCTTTAAATTGCCCTTAGGTGTGGCTTGTTGTTAGCCCTGTGATTGACAGGCGACCAGTCCAGGGTGTACCCTGCCTCTCGCCCAATGACAGTTATATGCTCCAGCCCCCCTCGCAACCCCAAACAGGAAAAGAGGGTTAGATAATCAATGGTTGGATTACTTTTCTGACAGCACATTTTGTGTTTGAAGATTTTTACTTTTTAAAGCGTAAAGGCATCATGTATGGAGTAGCTTTGTGCTGCACTTACACAACAATAACAGTTTTACAGCACTTTTCACAATTTGTGTTAAATTATTGAGATTTCAGTACAAGATAGAAATGCTATACTTCCCTTGATTGGTTCCATTTGTTCAAGTACACAGTAAGATGCCTGCACCTGCATTGCTGTGGAACAATACAATGATTCCCCTTTTTAGTGTTTTGTGTTCTTTCTTGTTACAATCCCATTCATGTGAAAGGGGATATGGTTTATTCTCCAGTGGTCTAGTGAAAGCTGCAGCATTTCTCAGACAATTTTTATCATGAGGTTACACCTGGGTGCATTTAGTGAAATTACTACATAACACAAAATAATGGTTTTACAAAAACTGTAATCAGATGTTCACAGCAGCATTCCGGCTTACATTGGTACATTGGATTCTTAATGAAGACATAGTCTTTGCAGGTATTTTCTACTTGACTGCATGATTTCTGCAAAGTCCATAGCCACAAGGAAATACTTTAAAGGTCTTTTTTCCCTTATAGCAAGAAAGATTAGCTACTCTCCCTCCCAAATGATTGTTCCATTCTCAGCAGACGGTGCATATAATACTTTTGCGAGTACCTGTTTTAAAGATTAGACTTTTATGTTTCATACATCTTTTCACTTGCATCACCTGCAAAGAGTGAGAATGGGCTGGAGTGACTGTTGCAACATGGGACTAAAAGGAAGAAAGGGGAACTGTAATGTGGATGCAAATTTGATTTAGCAGAGTAAACACACCAATGTCAAGCATGGGCAAACATATCAACCCTATGCCTTAAAAGTATGCCTTTATGAATGTTTTGTTCTTCTTTTTGTAGCCAACCATATTCTGTCATTATCTACTCACATTGTCCCCCACATTAAGAATTATTGGGGGCGTTTTTAGAACTCAGCCGTGTTGACCAATTGTTTGCAGTGCAACCAAAGACTGCAAGAACAGCACGCTGCTTCAGACTCAAGTAAGTCAAAGGACAAGTCTGTTGTGTTAGCTCCATGTACCATCTCTGCTGAGATAAACTGATGAGGGATGGAAGACTACATTATTTCTTGGGAAAGACTCAATGTTGCCAGATTGTGAAATTGCCATCGCGAGAGCTTTCATTAGTGGGCAAAAGGCTTTATCCCCATTGTGATATCTCATTCAACAATAATTTATGACTTGACGGACATTTTTTAAATTAATTCTTGGGGATGTTTATCTAAGTTTTGTGGAAACTTTTAATTCACTAAGAATGGATTGCAGATACTAATGGCTCCAAAAATGGTGTCTCATTTGCCCTGGCTATCTGCTATGTCTAAAGGCAGGCATTCCCAAGCATGGAATTGAAATGGGGTCCACCTAAAAGGTCTTATTATTGATCAGTAAAAAAAATATATTGTAGCATTATGCCTCAATGATGCTACAAGACTTTATCCAGATTAGCATGGGTTTTATTGTCAAACAGAACACAAGCTACTTTGGGCCGTAGCCAAGGTCTCTGTCTGTCTCTCATCCATGCTCATGCACACAGAGTCACACATATGCACCAGCAGGCAGCACACACACAACCACTCTCACACTCTCATCCAGTCACAGGCATTATTACACACAGAACACTGCCAATTGTAACACAGCTGTCAATCTGACACATTTACTAATGTTAACATAACAGTCACCACAGACATGTAACCGAGTCCCTTACAATATTTTGTTTTTCATAAAGATAAAGCGCCACACAGAATGTAAGTCAGCTGTATCCTACAGTTTTCCCTCATCCCATCATGAATATCAAATTCAAATGAAATGCAGAATATGTTAAATTGAGCTTGGCAAATCTTAAACAAAACTTATCTTAATCAAATGACCCGAGGATGCATGTGTTCCCCACAATCTCTAAACACCAAATGTGCTCAAGTGTAAATGTTTACAAGAATACTAAAGAGACAGAAATAACTATTTTTCTTCGTCCCCCTGCGCCCCCACAGAAATGGACACCTAAAGACAGAGAAAATACTCTCATTGATATTTTACTTCTTAGCCCTTTTCTTTCTAAATACGTTTTTGATTCATTTGAGTTTCACTTTGAGCAGAAATCTCATCCTAGCATTTATGCCTCTGTCCACAATAATGTACATTAAATAGCTGTAAGGTGTTTAAAAATAAATGTTTACGTGCAACACATTATAAAAAATATCATATACTGGAAAGAAATTAAGTTTAGCTAAAAGCTGTGTGTTTTGGATGTATGGGTCGCCAGAGTTCTGTGAAATCAAAGTTGGGCATGAGCCAAAAAAAGTTGGGAAACCACTGTTTTAAGGTCAAATTCACAAAGCTTAAAGTGCTATTGACATTAAGGCTCAAACACGCCCATAAAGTCGTCCTGCTCCATGCCGTTTTCTCTTGTTTTGCACACGATTGTGGAGAAAAAACGTATGAACCTCTACTCTGCACAGGATGAGTTCCTCATGCTGATGTAGCCGTTTTGTCCACATAAAGATGATGAACTTGAAGAGGACAGGGAACCATTTCAGGCTTTCTTTTGATGCCAGACTTGAAAAATGTAAAACAAGTTTCACTGTTTAGAAGAAAGCTTCCTCCGTGAATGGAGCAAGCAAGGACATTTTGATAAAGAAGAAAAACTCACAACCTTGTGCTGCAAACCTCTCCAAAGATGTAAATAAAGTTTTGAGTTGCTGACAGCCCCAGACTTATTTAACCCCTAGATATATTCTGTCATTTACACACGTTAACAGATCATTTATTTTAAAGTTATTCAATGTCAGAATTTTTTAGCCTGAAGTTTGTGTGTGACATCTCTTAGAAATACTGTGCCACAGGTACCACCAGGCAATGTGCCCACCTTTTGAGTTTAATTGAATAAGCAGAGTTATTTAATATACATGTCTCAATGACGTTAAATAGAACCGCTGTAACTGCATGTGGTAATTAGTGCTGGTATTAATGAATTAAATGGTATTTGCAATACGGCTCATTTGCATATAATGGGGCATTTTTGCACAGATTTTTGGAATATTCTCTTATTAACATACGTGTAATTCGGACAGACGCGCCCAGGACACTGTCTGCTTAGCAATGCAGTTTGTGTGCATTTCACCCTCTGCATGTGCTTTGTGGATTGCATTCTATATTTTTCTCAAATTTGCACAAGTTAAGCGCAATCCTTTAGGTGAATCAGGCCCTACGTTTTTAAACTCTTGATCTGTTCCTGGACAGTCCTGCACATTAGCGTAATTTTATTTCCTTGAAATCTGTTTTGATCTGCTAAGGAAGAGACCCCTATAGTCTCATTGGATTTTAAACTCCTCGGTTAGGAGAAAAATCCTCTCTTTCTTTCCACTTTAGTATTTCGAGCGGTGTTTGGTCAGGCTCCAGGTGCCCCCCGCAGGTCATCAAAAGAAGGATGTGTTCATTACTCATGCAACACAAAGCTAATACTCAAGTGATATGAATACTTTAGAAGCCGTTGAGACACCCAACCCATACAGATTTATTTCTGTTATATTCTGGGCTTGCACATGTTTCCCTCTGTTATTCACTGTCGGACAAAGCGGATGTGGACAAAGATGAGAAATTCTGAACTGTGGTCTCCTCTGACTTTGGTTACACACTGTCTTTATGCTCTTTTCTATTCTCTCCATCCGTTGTCCTTTTCGTTCGTCTTAGATTAACTTGAAGAAGGTCACAATGAGTTAACATCTCTTTCTCAAGGGAGAAAGCTGTGTGTGTGCTTTTATCTGTGTTACCTTCTTCATCTTTCTTTTATATTTATAATCATTTATTCTGTGAAGGTCACACTGAGAGAGAGCTCTGTATGTTTGCTTCTTCCTTTGTCTTCTAGCCTGTGTGCTGTCTGTTGGCATGCTTTGTACTTGTGTTGCTTTTTTAACTGAGATACTTTCACCATCTGGTGCTACATCTGCGTTTATTTTATCAGAAATTAAGATAATAATTGCTGCTATCCATTTCCTTTTGTGATGTTTTGTGTGTATCTGCTTTGGATAGCTAAAGTGGCAGGACAGTGTGTTCCCTAGTGGGGAAGATCTAACAAAGGTTTGGTCATTCAATATGTCCTGAAAAGCACCAAATCCTACTCTCAAGCTCTCTGTCTGTCTACCTCAATGGACATGTATTCAGACACACACCATTCACACACGCCTTTCATCAGGGACTGATAATCTTTCATATTGAAATATGTCACAACTCCCTCTAATGTCTGTCTTTGTCCTCATTTCCTAATTTTGCTGTCAATTAACAAATGTTCCCCTCATTCCACCTCTATATAATGGTTTCCATTAGTAAACGGGAAAAGAAAATACTTCTAAAGAATGGTTAAAACCTTTGTATTAGAGACTTAGGATATGCTGACTCTTAGTTCCTGGTGTGATTCAAGCTAACCCAGGAGTGTGCTGAATAGCATCTTTCATGAGACAATTTTGTTTCTTCTTTCAATGTTTTGTGTTAAGTATTTGAATTTTCAAACCTTAAGGTGTATTCTCATTTAGATGGGAGAAAAGCCTGTCTGTGTTCCATTATTATGTATAAGCTGTGTTGAGATGGCTCAGTTGGATATCCAAGGCTGCAGCAAAAGTTCAAATGTGTTGAACTTTGATCAATTGCTTGAACTAAGAGTGAACAAATAACAAGGACTTGTGTGTTTTGCCTGAATACGCCTTAAATCTTAAATAATTGTGACACTGTCATGGTTTATTTTCTTCAGAATTCTCCCTCCAGAGCCACAGAAGACATTAGCAGTTTCTTTAACTGTCTGAGTAGTACTCTTCCTGACAAGTGTGACGACCTTTATGTGTTAAATCTATGGGATACCCCCTTTAACTTGTTTGTTTTTTTTTTGTCACCCAACAGTCAAACCAGACCCTCCAGAGCGTGTGACGGCGACTCCGATCCGTTTGAACGCTCGGAGGCTGGAGGTTTCCTGGCAAAGCCCCGCCACATGGCCTGACATCGACAACTTCCCCCTGAAATACTTCCTTCGATACCGGCCACTCATCCGGGAACAGTGGCAGCATGTGAGTAATGCTGCTGCTGCTGTGTGTGCGAGGCATTTCTTCTTTGAGGTCATGATTCAGAACATTGAGTGCAGATGGGACATATTAAGCTCCATTAGTATTTCATGCAGAGAAAAATCACTTATTATGATCATCTGTATGATTTACAATCAGTTAAGATGGAGTAAAAGACTGAGTCAGATAAAAACAAGGTTTGATCCAATGGGGCCAATAAAATCATATGTCTGAGCCTACTAATTAACTCCTGTGAAAACTGAACACACGCACATTAATCACACCTTATTTAAAGGAGCTCAGTGATTTGGAATTAGCCTCTTACTAATGAGTAGCATAGCTAGTTCTGAAAAAATAAATCTGGCTGACGTTTGTAATGAGTGTTTCATAAGCCAAAAAAAGAGACAGTTATAAATAGTGGTGAACATTTGTCCAGATACATCTCCATTACCAAAAGCTGTAAGTCAACATTGCCAAACACCTGTTGTAGTATCATTCATTATCTAGTATTTCCTAACCTCAAGTGACTATATCTTATTTCTTTCTCCAAAGCAGTGTTGGCCTTAATCCATCCATATTTTCCAAGTTTTCCCTGTGGCATAATTTTCTTTAAAGGAAATGGCAAAAAAAAAATTCCTATCATATTTTGTTGTACTCCTTTTGGACATTTTTTGACGTAAAATCTAGATTTATCATGAGTTGTGAAATAAATAGAAGGATTTAAAGGACATGTGGGGAGATGGCTTTGAGAAGCAGTTCTAGGTAAACGGGTCCAACCTGTAGACGTTTGAGTTTGATCCCCTCAGAGACAGACATAATCGCTCAGCTTCTTCGGTATATGTTACTGTATCTGACTACTTCATGTGGGTTCAGTTCCCTCGGGGGGCTTCCTATAGTAAAAGCATATGTGTCCACTATAGGATTCCTGGGATGAAAGCTGCAGAGGTTTAACATTGCATCATTATTATCATCCACGTCAATGGTCTGTAAAGGTGTTGTTTTAGGAACTAAGGTTTCTGGAATGGAAACACATGCACTGACATGAATTATCAACTGATCCCCTTTTCTTTCTTTTTTTTATCTTTCTCACTGTTCTCTTAAGTCCATCCCTCTTTATACCTCAAATGTGCCTCTGTCATATTCATCAACTCACAGCAATGTTTTATTCCATTTGTATTCTTTTTTTTTTTTCATTCTAATTTCCCTTCTTTCCCTTTTTTCTTTGGTTTATTAGGTGTTTTTTTCCCCTCACTGGTTCTGTATATTCATAGTGATATATCAGTGCAGACCATCATTTTCAGAGGACTCAGTTTAATTATTTTGGCACCACTTTCCTCTTTTTATTACCCTAGTTCAAACAAAGTTGGAATTAATTATGTGCAGCTATTAAAATGATTAATTGAATTACTCAAGTGCCTAATCAGGTATAAGATGTAGCTGGCTCCTGCTTGTCAAATGTGTAGATTTGCTCTTCAGATTTGGTATGCCTTTGGGTTGTTGAGTCTTTCGACATAATGATCAAAGTGAATATTATTTTGTCCTCTGAAGACGTGTGATGGTGATGTTTTAAAGGCCAAACATGTGCAACATTTATGTACACACTGTACCTTAAGCTACGATCACATATGTAAAGACATACTTCTTTTAATAATACTGTACATGCATATGTTTCTCTTTCTTTTGCCTTCCCCTCCCCCTCTCCCACACACACACACACACACACACACACACACACACACACACACACACACACACACACACACACACACACACACACACACGCACACACACAGAGCAACACACGAACAGTGGGAATGACGGTTGTTATAATAACACCTTAGATCTTTGCAGTATAAGTCAATTATTTAATGATTAACTCTGACACACCCTCTCAGGTTCCCTTCTTGCCCTTGCCACTAATCAATCAATATGTGAACTTCTGCATTACGTGAAAGGTGGGAAACCTTAAGTCAATATTTGGATTGGGTAAGAACACATAATTAGCAAATACCATAAATACAGCTGATGACAGCTGAAAACGGTACATTTTTCTATTTTTGCAGTGTTCTTTGATGAATGCCTCCATGTCATGCACGGTTTAAGTTCTTGTAGTAGTGTGGTTCAGAGCAGGGCCAAAGCTGTGTTTGTCAGTCTCCATACTTCATACTTAATAGCTACATTGCTGATAATTAAAAACGGAAGTTGTGTTTAATTGGTCTGAATTTTACACTTTCAAGTTAATGCAAACAATGTATGGATGTAATTGCAACAAGTTTGTAAGAAATATAAATTAGCAGCAACCCACAAAGTATATTTTCTTATTACTTGTAGATTCATTCATTAAATCATAAGGACTGGTGTTGTGCTTACTGACAGCCTTTTCCCCAGTTGGGGAAATAACAGAATCAAAAGGAGCTAATAAGGACACTGTAGGGGTGATTTAAGTACAAATGATACAGATGTCCACATCTGCATGGCCCCATCCACACCATACATTTCTGCATCTTCCTATGTCAGTGGGGGACAAAAAAATCATTGAAGACTCCACAGGCCAACCTATCTTAAGATTAATTGATGGCTGTCGCAGAGATAACCCTATGTTTGCACTTGAGTTATAAGGCTTTTGAAATTAGCACATTTATGTGGCTTACATGCACTCTGCTACCACTTCAGACTCTGTGTCAACTTCAAATATACAGATCTGACCTAACCACGGATTAAAATCAGCCAACTCAATGACAGTTGAACATGAATACACAAAATGAATATATAAACATATACAGCATTTATCTAAATGGGAATTTAGATTTTAGCCATTACTTTTGATGTCATCCATTATGTGGAATAGACTTTGTACTGCAAATAAGGACATACATTTCTCTCGATAAACTTTTATTATAAACCAGCTTTCCCTTTTCAAATTCCTGTGAAGACATTGAGTGTGCGCTGCTTTGAGAGGGAAACAATGTAAACAGTCGTTTCAGCTAGTTATGGCAGCTTGTCAGTGCCTGCTATTGGAGTTCATGATAGCTGAATATACAGTTAACCTCATGTACTAGACTACAGTTTCTGCTTGGGGAAAAAAAACAACAACAAAAAAAAAACTTTCAAGCCGTGACATAAATCATTAAGTGGAGTTTAATGAGGTTGCCAAAATAAGATACACTGTTTATTGGCTCCATATATACTTCATTAATTATAGCCCCAGAGGTTGAATGCTAATTGAAGTGGTTTGTACTGCTGAGGAATTCAGCTTTAATGTGGTTAGATGCAACAGAGCTGGGTGAGAATGGCTTTCACATGTAACATTTTGAAATATGTTTTGAGTCAGAAATGAAAGCGCTGGTGTGATCAGACTGATCTTGAGAGGAAACCATCCATCCTCGTGAGGAATGAAGGGATGACTGGCCCAGATACTTAGAGTGATGGAGAGTCAGACAGAAGGAGAAAATATGGGAAAGTTTGAAGCTGAGATGGATGGAGTGCATCACATAAGGAGAAAAATGTTAATGGATAGCAGACTCTGGTAGATGAAGTAAAGAGAGAGAAGCAGTATAATGACATACACATTAGATACCTGAGAGCATTTGGACTTAAGCTATGGAGTGTCAAAGGTGATTGATGAAGAATTGGATTGAGGGAAAGAAGGTGCTTATTGCATTCAAAATAGAGGTAATGTTTAATAATCTATATACGCCTGAGACACATTCTTTGATCATAAAACACTGAGGAATGGATGGCAGATGAGAGGTAGGGAGGGAAGCAAGAGTAACCACAAGAAAGCACTAAGGAGGCAACATTGAGATTGAAAATCTGTTTCACAAGGGTGACAAGGCCAAGGCTATATATAATCACAAGCACATTGAAAAACCACATTAAAGACACAACACTGGAAATTCAGAAACAATGTAAAATACTACAACCACATGCCTCTGTTATCATATCATCGTGATACTGCTTAGTTTTGTCAACTGATATTGGTGTTTCACGTTAAAGGAAGAAGAACGAATTGTTCATGAGAAGAAAAAGGATGAAGGAATGACAGAACATCTGGAAGTGGATGGTGAAATATAATAACTGACGTGACCACAAAGAGTAAATCCAAGTGTCATAATGAAATGGTTTGAAATTTGAGTTTTGACTTTAGCCATGTCAGCCAGCTTTACTTAAACAGCACAATTTAACAATGTTGTTGAACGTGAATTGTGATTTTGTTACCCTTAAGCCCAGCTGGAATGGTATTTGATTTCAACAAGCTCAGTTTAAGAACTATGGTTTTATTCCTCCAGTGTGTAGTACATGGGGAAATTTCATCATATTTAATCCCAAGATAAGCACAGCTGCCATACTCTGATTCCTTCTAAAACACTACCTGCCACCAAGTGAGTAATAAAAAAAGGGTAACTTAGTAAAGATGGTGATGCCTTTTCTTTAGGCCGTATCTTGAATGTTTCATAAATATAATATAATAAAGACAGCCAGCCAGTCTCCTGACACTCAGTAGGAAAGATGTTTTTCTGTGCCTGCATGACTTTGCACTTCTCATTATGTCTGTGCCATGAACTGTTATTGAGTAATGGAGAGTTAATTACAAAGAAGCAAAAAGAATGACCACTTGAGAATAAATCTGCATCCTTTGCAAAGGTTCAGTCGATTGTTTTGTTTCCCATGGCCATGTGCTGTGACGTTTCCATCTCAGCCTCGCACTCCCTGCACTGAGCCAGAATTCAACCTCTTATTACAATTAAAGCAATGGTCCAGTTACTGTGATAAGAACAATTTCAGATGAAACTGCATCTGCTTCGCTGTAAATTGCCCTTTGGGGATGATGCTGAACTCCAGCCCACTGAAAACACACATTTCCTTGCAGAGTTTCACACGGACAGAAATGAGCACAGGCCCATACAGATACACTCAAACATAATCATATGCATCGAGACAAAGACACATGTACACACAAACCAATCTCCTTCTTCTAATTATAAAGATTAATATACATGGAAATG